CCATCCTGCATGTTGCACCCAGCTCCCAGCCTTAGCCCAAATCTCCATGTCATTTTTGGGCATGTAACATGTGGTAGATCCTAGCTGCAATTTACTCCTGAGCAACATTGGCCAGGAGAGGCAGGGAGAAAGGCCAATGGTGCTCATGAGTAAACTGAGGCTTCTAAGTGGGATCAAGCCAGGGGTGGGTTCCAGCTGTTGCTACTGCCAGTTGCTCTGTGCATGTGCAGAAGGTAAAAACAATATGGCAATGCCTATGGCACTACCGAGAGAACCGGTTCAGGGGCGTGGCCAGGCTACCATTGCTACCAGTTCAAAAAGGTACAGCCAATTTCTATTCCCTATTTGGCTGAACCAGACCGAACCGGTAGGAACCCATCTCTGTAGTGTGGGATGTATTGGGCCTGTCAGTTTGATTGGCCTCCTCCAATCATGGGGAAATGTATTTATACCCTACTAGAAAATGATTTGGACTGGACTTCCCTGGGAAGATGGATTGGCTTTGGAAAGTGAATTTATTATATATAACCAGATATCTGACAAGAAATTTTAGTTTATAGAAAGACTGTCTCAACAATGGATGTGATGGAGATATTTAAAGCAGAGGTTTAGGATTTTGGAAGATGAGGTAAAATTGTTGGGAAAGCCCCCAATAAAAATTTTATGGGAAAGTTTTATTATTAAGAACCAAAGAAGATATTTGATCCTGTTAGAGTTCGCTGCAATCCAATCAGCAGACAAGTAAATAATTCAGCAGGATTCATGTATAGAAGAAACTTCTTTATATACAATAATATAAATCCTATAACATAAAACATAATTATAAAATGGGAATTCCAAGTTTTTTGCCTATAAAACTCTAAACTTAGGTATTTAAATTACTTGTTTACCATAAAAGCTTGCCCCCGAAGAACTTCATGGAAAAGTCAAGGATAGGAGGCAGAACAATTTCTACATTTCAACAATCAACTAATTAAGCACTATGTGTGCTCTGGATAAGTAGCCTTCTTTTCTAGTAAAGAACTAAAGAACAATAAAATTGAGATTTATTGAATATAGTTTCTTGCAGTAAATGTGAAGAGTAATTTGAAATGCCTTTTTCCAATATACTCCTATAGTGAATCAATGATCAACCTCAAAATCTAAGTATAAGTGTAATACTTTTTTTTGTTTTCAGCAATTATATAACCTCTTCTGATGTCATTCCATGTTCTGCAAGAAAATGGATTTCCTCAAATCTCTCATCAGTTCTACTTCTGTTTCTCTGATCAGGCTCGGGCTCATTTCACTTTCCATTCCAAGAGCTATTGGGATAATTAAAAACAACACAAATAAAATAAAAAGCAAGGATAGAAGCAGACATTCACCACCTGATGAAATCCAAATCTATTGGTTTGCCGAGGTGGCGCAGTGGGTAGAGTGCAGTACTGCAGNGAACACTTCATACCCTGCAGTGGACTACCTCAGTTCACCAGCTGGCCAAACTGTTGCTGAAGCATATCTACCGCATGCATGGAGTATCTCAAAGAATTATCTCAGACAGAGGGGTCCAGTTCATGGCTAAGTTCTGGATAGAGTTCCTGCGGTCCATTGGGTCATCCCAGGGCCTTAGCTCGGTTTTTCATCCAAGCACCAATGGGGAGGGACAGAGAGACTGAACGCCATAGTAGAGCAGTACCTGAGCTGCTACATGAACTATCAGCTGTCAAATTGGGCAGATCTTCTGTCTTTCGCTGAGGTCGCGTATAGTAATGTTGTTCACAGTAGCAAGGGACTAACACCGTTCAAAGTAGTGAGCGGCATGGACTGTAATGATTGGTTTTATTTTGAAACTTGACTCGAGGCTCATGAATCAATTAGGGCATATTTTGAAAACCTGACAGTGTGTTAGATCTCCTTTTAAAATCTATCAAGTTTACCAGGTCTCCTGAATCCTTAAACATTCATTTAATAAAAGGGGTTTTGTTGGGACCAGGACTATGTATCATGCCTTTTGGGGAAGCCTAGGTCAGAATACTGGATTTCCAAAAGAAAGAAAGAAAATGGGGTAGCAAACAGCTCAAGGAGAGCATGCAGGGCTTTCCAAGAGTCTTCTTTTCTTTTTTCTTTGCAACTTTTTGGAAATCTGGGCTGCCTGAAGAAGGAGCGCAAACTGTGGCGGAGGTTTTTCTTCCTCTTCTTCCTCCTCCTCTCCCTCCCTCTCCCTCCTTCTCCTCTAATGCACACCCAGCCACACACACACACAGAGAGAGAGAGAAACAGGGAGAGAGGCAGAAAGAGGTGGGGGAGAGAGATTTGGCTCAATTTGGCTCCGTCTGCTCCCCTCTCCACCTTTGCCCAGTTTTGCAAGGATTCAGCGGACGTTGCCTTGGTGATGGGAGGTGGGGTTCATCCCATACTTTGCCTGCCAAGTGTCTTCAGGAGCACCCAGGGACTATGCTTTCCGGCTATTTTGGACTGAGGTGCAGGGTGCACATGCATGCCTGTGTGAGTGTGCTGCTACTTGGGCTGCTGCCCAAGATGGGAAAGAGGAAGGGAGGGAGAGAAAAGATGAGAAAGAGATGAGAGAGGAAAGGGGAGGGAGAGAGAGATGAGAGAGGGAAGGAGAGAGAATAAAGGGAGGGAGAAAGATATGGGAGAGATGAGGGGGGAGAGGGAGATAAAGAGGGAGAAAGAAAAAGATGGGAGAGAAGGAGAGGATGGGAGAAAGTGATGAGAGGAAATGAGGGGGAGAGGAAGAAAGAAAGATGGAACGGAGGGAGGGAGAGAAAAGTTGAGAAAGAAAGATGAGAGAGGGAGGAGGGGTGATGAGAAAGAGGGAGGGAAAGGGGAGGGAGGGAGAAAGAAAGATGGGAGAGGGAGGGAGAAAGATGAAGGGGAGAGGGAGTGTCTTGTTTCCAATGGAAAACACTGAGAGCCACAAAACCTGGGTAGGTGTGTCTGGGGGGGGGGTCATCTGACTCAGTGGGGGTGATGAGTTGGCCACACCCACCCAGGTTTTGTGGCTCCCTGTGTTTTGTTTTCTATGAGAAACGAGTCCAAATGGCTCTTTGAATGTTTAAGGTTGCAGACCCCTGGACTAGATGACCTCCAAGGTCCCTTCCAGCTCTGGATTGCTGTGCTGTTTCAAAGCATCCTTTGAAGCTGCATCTAGTGCCAGGGTTTATGGTCCTTCCTTCCTCTCCTTTTCCCTCCCTCCCTCCATATCACATTTGCTTTCCCTCCACTTCCCTCTTTCTCCCTTCTTTCCCTCTTTCTTTCTCCCTTCCCACCTTCTTTCTTTCTTTTTCCCTCCCTTCCCTTTCTTTCTTTCTTTCTTTTTCTCCTTTCCCTCCTTTCTTTTTCTTTGTCTCCCTTCTCTCTTTCTCTCTCTCTTTCTCCCCCTTCCCTTTGAATAAAGCCAGCTTACTTACATCCCCCTCACCCCCGCTCTTCCCTTCCCGTTCATTATCGGGGAGGCATGACCAGGTGCAGGTGGAGCTTCCACCCCTCCACTTACTTTTCCTAACAGACGCCTGAGACCATTTGGCTGCAGCACCTCCCCCACCCACCATCCCTGCAATCAATCACACCATGGCTTCTGGCTGCCAGCACTGGCAGCTAGCCGATTGGCTGGAAGCAGGCACAGCCAAGGGTAGGAGCCAAAAAGTCCTATTCCGAGTTAAGCCCTGCCACTTCGTCCCATTGCTCACAGCCACAACAGAGCAGGAGGGCACCTGTGCACCTTAGATTTTTTTTTCTTAGATTTTATTNCAGCGGTTCAAATCTCACCGGCTCAGGGTTGACTCAGCCTTCCATCCTTCCGAGGTGGGTAAAATGAGGACCTGGATTGTTGTTGGGGGCAATATGCTGACTCTGTAAACCGCTTAGAGAGGGCTGAAAGCCCTATGAAGCGGTATATAAAAATCTGCTATTGCTATTGCTATTGCTAATAATGCCAAACTAGAGAATGACTAATAATTGGATATTGATGATCACACAGACTGGGAAGAAGTGTTTTAAGAAACCAAAAGAAAAAGACCAATCCCCCTAGTTGATGTTAGCACATTATTTAATACAGTGTTTCCCTGAAAATATGACCTAGCCTGAAAATAAGACCTAGCCTGAAAATAAGACCTAGCCTGAAAATAAGACCTAGCCCGATGTTCACACCGGCACCTAATATAAGCCTTATCCCAAAATAAGCCCTAGTTAAGTGGGTTTAGGAATTTTTGGCTCCAACCTTTGGCCACACCTGCTTTTCTGCCAGGTTCTGCCTCTGGCATTCACCTCTAGCTTTTCTCCTCAGCTAACATGCCCCTAGCTGTTCTCCCTGGCCAAAGGGACACACGGACGAGGGAGCGAGAGAAAAAGGAGAGGAAGGAAGCACCGCAAACCTTGGCACTGGATGCAGCTTCAGAGGAGCTTTGAAACAGCACAGCAATCCAGGGCTGGAAGATTCCTCAGAGGTCATCTAGTCCAACCCCCACTCTAGCAGGAGACCTTATATCATAGTGATGGCTAACCTTGTCATTCAGATGCTTGGTCACTGACTTACTTATGACAGTCTCATGTCCCAGAGTCACATGATCCTTTTTTGCTACCTGACCAATGAAGTCCTGGGAAAGCTGCATTCACTTAACGACCATGTGACTTACTTAATAGCTGCAGCTACTCACTTAACAATGGTGGCAAGAAAGTTTGTAAAGTGGGTGAAAGCTCACTGAAAAGCTGTCTTACTTTGCAACAGAGATTCAAGGCTCAATGATGGACATACAGTTATGAGTGTCAATCACTGGTAACCTGGCAGGGCTTTGCTCCCAAATTTTCAATCTGGCTCACAGTGATTGACATCCACTTTTGGAGGATGGATTGAGTAAGATGCATCAAAATTCACTTTAACAATGCTCTTGATCTGTTTTCACCCTCCCCAAGCTGCTATAAAGCCTCTGGAGCCTGGGGAGCACCTCTACAAGGGGGTCCTGGTCTACCTGATTGACATCCTCATCTACACGGAGACCATGGTCCACATGCTCCTGGACAGACAGGTAATGGAAAAACTTATTGCAGCCAACCTGTACGTCAAGCTATCAAAATGTGAATTCCACCATGTACGGCTAGACTATCTGGGTTATTGAGTGTCAAATGAGGGAATAGAGATGGACCCAGACAAAGTACAAGCCGTCCTAGGCTGGCAACCCCCTCGCACTCGCAGACAGCTACAAAGCTTCCTAGGGTTCACGAACTTTTACAGACAATTCATCCTCTCCTTCACAAAGATTGCCAAACCCATGACAGACCTCCTAAAGACAGGGAACCCAGGAGCAAAACCTCACCCAGGACAACCTCTACAGTGGGACCTAACCTGCCAAGAGGCATTTGAAACACTAAAAGAAATGTTTGCAAAGGAATCAGTGCTGAAGCATCCTGACCCCGAGCAACCCTTCGTAATCCAAGCATACACAAGTGACATGGCAATGGGAGCAGTGCTACTCCCCCAAAACAGGCAAGGAAACCTACAGCCCTGCGCCTAGACCTCCCGCAAACTCACAGACACAGAGAGATGATTGGCCGCATGGGAAAAGGAGGCTTTTGCACCGAGATGGGCGCTACACCTGTTGAAAGGGGACCAGAAACCGTTCAAAGTCTGGACTGACCACAAAATATGGAGGACCCCGTGGAAACTATCACCCAAACAAGTCCATTGGGCTCAATACTTCAACTGTTTTGACTTTGTATTAAAGCACATTCCAGGGGGGAGGAACTTTCTAGCTGACGTCCTCTCCTGCATGCCCCAGTACAAATGTGGAAGAGAGCAGGTAGTGGACACCATCGTTCCCCCTACTCAAATAGCCACCAGACGACAACACCGTGGCGGGCAAGACCAACCAGCAAGCAACCTAACCACAAGACTCAAAACCAAACTGCTAGCAGACACCTGGTTCTGAGACAACCAACATGTTTTGACAAAAAGAGATGACCGTGCATGGAAGGGGATGAAACTCTATGTTCTGGAATCCCTGCACACCCTAATTCTCCAGAAGGAGCCACGATGCCAAACAGGCAGGCCACTTTGGGTTCCTAAAGACTTTACATTTAGACTGGAGGTACTTCTGGTGGCCCGGCATAAAAAAAGACATGGACAGTTATGTGAAACATTGCACCATCTGTGCCACAATAAAGAGACAACCGGGAAAAAACCCTGGACTGCTGCACCCAATAGCAGAGCCAACAACGCCATAGGAAGAGATCGCAATGGACTTTATAGTAGAGTTGCCAAAAAGTGGGGGAAACAGTGATTTGGACTGTAATAGACCTGTTCTCCAAACAGGAACACTTCATACCCTGCAGTGGACTACCTCAGTTCACCAGCTGGCCAAACTGTTGCTGAAGCATATCTACCGCAT